ACAACATAAATTAATATAATTATAATAAACTGTATTTCAAATTGTCTTTTCTCAACACTAATTGTGATTGTTTATATGCGCCCGCGCAGGTAGTACATTAATTTTTACGTCATCAACATCACAATCGATGGTCAAATATCTATTATTGATCGAAATTATTAATCTTAATCAATTTCAAAATATTGTCAGCAATTAGATTAATTTGTCCATGACACATTACTACACATATATGGGAATGCATAGCTACTTCTCTGTCCATTTTAGCTATTTCTTATTCTTACATCGTTTTCTTAATGTCAAAAATCCTAAATTCTGAATATTAATTCATTATAGGCATGTCAATGGTACTTCAATAACATCCCATTTTGACAAAGTATTTGTTACTAGATCACGAAATAATAAAAATTGTAGGCAGTATTGGTTTATTAAGACGTCTTTAGGAATGCCATATAATCATATGTAATTAAACGCCATTCAGATGCCGTTGTTACATCATTATTAAGGTGTTGATAGACTTGAGCATTCTCTTTCTGTGTATTGTGAATTATACAGATGTGATCACAAAATACAGCGTTCTAGCAAACATTCTAGCGAAACGACAGTAAATTTGCTTAAGAGTTTTCTGAGCTGAGCAATTTTGTTATTATTGTCTGAAATCTTCGTGATGATCAATTACTAGAACATTCGCTAGAATGTTCGAGGAAATGTTCGGAACTAGATGATTGTTTTGTTTGAAATTGAAACGCTCGAACATTCGGTGTTTTGTTACAAGTAAATGCTCAAGACTAATCTCACGTTTAGCAGAATGGGCTACAAGACTGTTTTGGCACAGTATTTTAAAACTTTGATATGATCATATTAAACGTTATTAAATAAATATTAAAGTTTTAATTACTAAATAAAGGAAAAACATATTTTATCAAATATGTTTTTCTTATTCATTAATTTAAAGTGTCCCGCGAAAACAATAACGTGACATTTTGACTCGTGACGTCACATTTCGATAAACAAACCATGTGTAAAGGGCCTCAAATTAGCTTATTTTTACGTAATAATTGCATCTCTATACAGTCTCAATTATGTACTATCTACCTAAGGACTAACATTATTAACGTCTTCATCACAAATCAGTGATGATATATATATTTATAATTTTTGTGATCTAGTAACAAGAACTGTGCCATAGAAAGTTGTAGTTGAAACACTAACGACTTTCCATAATTACGCTAACATTAGTGGAATTGCACTAATGATGTCGACGTATAGTTTATAGAAATGTGACGTCATACATTGCTACGGCATGGCCGCCCACATTTCGGTTCGCAGACTATCTCGAATCGCAAGATAATTTTGCTAGAAAAATAAACTTGCAATTGAATTTAAAACAACAAATGGTACATAGTAATTATTTACGTTGAGTTACGATTTCCAGCATATTTTATAATTTGTTGTTATAACTGTCAAGCAGCCAAATGAGACCTCACTATTATTGGTCAATGGTCAGCGTGTTGTGTGAGAGTGGCAGTCTCGCTGTCAGATGGAGGGGCGGGGCGGCGGGGAGGAGAGGGAGGTGGCGAGGGTGGAGGCGAAGGGGATGGCGGCGGGCGGTGAAGGGGGGGCGCGGGTCTTGTCGCCGGCGTTAGTACTCCAGAGTTGACGTCCTCTATCGCTTTCCGGAGCTAAACGAACGGAATAATAATAATAAACTATTACTATCAAAATAAATGTACAAACAGTCTTCATAATTGGCACCGCGAGTCTAACGAAATGATATTATCGTTCAATAAAATGAAACAAAAAAAAAATCTTTATTACATAAAGTCTGTTTAATTACCGACAATTATCCGGTGAGATTGATCATGTGATTGTTAAACTGTAGCGAAAAAATATACTTTGGGTGTTAGCTAATTGGTCACGCATTATGACAACTGTAGCAACATGTCGGTGAAATATTAGGGCTTCTTCAATCTCACGGGATTATATTATTTGCGGGATGACGCATAAAAAAAAGTATTAATATTTATAAGGCAAAAAAATAATGAATTAATCAATATATGTTAGCAATAAGGCCGCCTTTTGTATACTTATTTCTTATTTTGCTTCTTTGTATTGTGACCTTTGTGGTGTGCAATAAAGAATATATTATTATTATTATATCTTCATGTTTATTTAAGTTTTGCTCGCGAGAGGTTGTGTGCATGTGTTTTCCAATCTCCCAAATACCGTGCCCGTAATACCGCAATACCGACATCATTGACATAGCAGATTGAAAACCCTAGTGGACACGTGTCAATTGAAAGGACCGCGTTGCGTTAGTGTTACGCAAGTGTATCTTTTGTCATTAGATATTCTTATATTTTGGTTTATGTAAAAATTTGTGTTGTCTTCAAAACTTACCTCTTTCAAAGCCACCACACCTATCAGTCGTCCTATAGCAGTGACGTAAGCTCTACTAACACCCAGCGTCGAAAATAATGAGTGCACCTGAAATATTACAAAATGCCATAATATGGTAACTATATTTATTTATCATACAAGCTGCTCATTGTACAAACGTTGAAAGCAACATTACCACTGCATATGTTCCAAATTTATAACTTTTATTAGCGAGTGGTTATTAAACCTTAATGGACGGTTGTACAACTTGGAGCTCAATTTTTTATCATTCGTCTCATCGAGCACTCGCTTTTTACTGATTTTTTTTCGACTTGATTAATTTGCTCGACTGTAACGAGTGGTATGAACCACTCATCGTTTAGCGAACGCTTTAGGCGAGTGATAGAATAAAGATACAAAAGAATAAATGATGATTATGGCAGTTTATATACATTCACACTTTTTTCGTTTATATATATATATATATATATATATGGCAAAAATTATATTCGGGGTTAAAGTATGAAATTGCCGTTTTACTGTAATGGGTTCTTTTCATTGACATAGAATCTTCATAGTTTGAGGATTTCGACTTTTTAATTGTTTTGGTATTCAACTTAGACAAGAAAGATGGATACTGCGGAAATTCGAGTGAGATATGAATACTACTTCCAACGCGGAAGTAACGCGGTAGAAACAGCCCGCAATATCAATGTTGCGTTTGGAGTGGGGTCTGCTTATGAACGCACAGTGCGATTTTGGTTTAAACGCTTTCGTGATGGACACTTCGACTTGACGAACGAGACACGAGAAAGACCGCCCGCCCACACAGGTGAATAACGATGAATTAAGAGAGATGGTGGACGCCGATCTTAGTCAAACTACCCAGGAATTAGCGGCATGGTCTAACGTTACCTTACTTACAATATTGACTCATTTGCGTCAAATCAATAAAATAAAAAAATACGATAAATGGGTGCCTCATGATTTGAATGATCTGCAGAAAGAAACGCCTGTCGAAACCTGTGTTACCTTGTTAAATCGGTACAGGAATAAATGAATATTGGATAGAATTGTGACATTTGATGAAAAGTGGATTCTTTATGATAACTGTAAAAGAAAAATGCAATGGCTGACCACAGGTCAAACGCCACAACTGTGCCCTAAAGCCAAACTTACCAATAAAATAGTAATAGCATCTGTTACGTGATCTCAGCATGGTGTTATTCACTATAGTTTTCTCGGATCTGGTCAAGCTATAACGGCAGATGTCTATTGTGCCGAACTCCTTACAATGTTGGCAAAACTAGCAGTAAAACAGCCTCAATTCATGAATCGATCTTCACCGTTATTACTCCATGACAACGAGATACCTCATACAGTACGAGAAATCGTTTTAACCATTCAGGAACAGGAACAGGAACAGGTTAGAAAACATTCGTCATTCTCGGTATTCGCCAGACTTTGCTCCAATGGACTACCTTCTTTTTCGTGATTTGGACAATTGTCTACGAGACAAGAAGTTTTCTTCCCAAGTAAATACAGGCAGTACAAAATGCTTTCACACAGTTTGTGCAGTCTAGACCCTCAGACTTCTACAGCAAAGGCATAAATTAACTTCCTATTAGATGGCAGAAATGTATAGATAATAATGGTAACTATTTGATTAAATAAATTTGTAAAAATTTTGATTTTCAGTACAAATCGGCAATTTCATTCTTTAACCCCTATTATTTTAAATTATTTAATTATGTTGACTACTCTGAAGAATGAACCATTCCAAAATACTAAAAAATGGCGTCATGCGACTTAGGAGTCGAGCGTAACGGGTCGTATACGGGTAGCATACGAATTTCTCACATCGTGGACAAATCACTGTTATTCTGCCCTAAGCCAATGACGACAATTGTGGCCAAAGTGCCACAGATCAAAGCTCAAAAAATCTATAATTATCTTCGAAGATTTCCATTCAACTCTTATTGTGACTTTGAAGCAAGATTAAGCAGTTTAATCCCAGTTTTTCTTAAGTTTATTAAAACAAAACAAACCGTGTGATTGTAATACAAAGATAAATAAATGTCTAACCTTAAGCAATGATGTGCGTTCAACCAATTGGAATGGCGCCGGGTCTATGTGGCATGTATACGTAGATTCGTCTTCTGTGTCAAAATCGTCGGGATGCTACACAAGATACATATTACTATTATTATTATATATATATACATGTTTAATTATTAGCTATAATAATTACTCTTTGCACTATAAAGTTTATAGCTATGAAGCATTTTTGGACGAATGTTGCTATACAGACGTTAAGCAACTTTCGTAATGGTCGGTCATAAGATGGGTGACTAAAAATTTATTATATTATCTCGAGCTCCGCAATGTTTCGATAGGCTAATCGTTAAGATCCACCGATCGATTACAAAAACAAGCAAGGCTTGTGCCCCAGCAATAAAGACATTATGGGCTGGTGATGATAAAGCGTGTGCTAAATAAATTCTATTAAAACGATTTTCTTTTTAAGGATCAAAGCTTACCTTTTTTATTAATTGCAACACCAGCTGTTAGGATTTATTTGAACATTTATTTTTTAAAGTTTGTCATACACAAGAAGACTTGTGTCAGATCAAAGAGGACAGGCTGGTTATAATACTGACCATATCTCTCTTTCTGGCGATTTGCAACATCCTGTCGAAGTCTATTTCTTTGGACATCTCGAGTGTCTCCCATGCTTTCTGATCTTCCGGAGACATATCACATACACGTTCACGAGGCTGCAAAACAAGTTAAAAACTCAAAACTACTTTACCTGTTGCTTAAAGTATTTGTATACGCTTAAAATGTACTCTACTTTTCTTTCTATTTATTTTTTACCCGACTGCAAAATAAGGGTTATGTTATTAGGGCGTTTCCTATATGTGTGTATGTAATATTTTTTATTACCTCACCATATTCAGAGCCGCTGAACGGATTGAGATAATTAAGGTAAAGTTAGATTTGTCTTATGCCCATTTTCACTAACCTAAAATAAGGCATAGCTTATCTAGAAATAACTTTATATTAAGAATAGAATAAGCACATCTGTCGATTCACCAAACCTGTAACGTTAGATAATACCTTACTAAGCACTTGCTTAGATAGGCAACGATTGTCTATGATTTCACTCGCTTCATTTCTTCTTCTTTTCTTTATGTATGGCCTGTGTGAGTTTACACAATTGCGCCAATGTCACGTTAGTCGGCTTTATACGTAAAGAGAAAATAATAAAAATATATATTTTGAGATGTAAAACAAGAAAAAATATACGTGGTCTTGTGGCTCCTTGTCATTGGTGAAATGCATTTTCACCTTAGACAATGCACAAATATGTATTTAGGTGTCAGATTTGGGCGACTCCCAAGTTTAGCGAAAACGGGCATTAGGAGCCTTAGTTCTTAGATAGGTAACGTTTATAAAATGGCGGTTGTGCTACGCCATTATTATATTTCATGGTAATTTATTTTTGTTACAAATCCTACAACATGGGTATCAAATTAAAGGGCTCAATTCAAGAGTTACCATAATACTAATAAAAATAATACAATAATAAAGTTTGAAAATAAGGAGTTTTTGCTTTCACTTTCCGAACCAAACTTTGATAAAAATATATTCAAGGGTTGCTACAAAAGAAATTTGACCGATGTTTAATTTACTCTGTATATAAAATGACGTGCTGTTTTTGTATAACTCGTAAGAATTATCATAACTCCTGAGGGTGTGGGTCCTCCTGTGTATTCTATTTGTCCTTGAACGAAAATTCGGAAAATTTCTCATTATTTTGCTAAAATTGTATATCTAAAGATTATCAATGCATCAGAGTCCTACCTTCGTTGCATCATACATAATTTAAAGATGTTTTTCTTTGGAGTCATGTTAGCATTTCGAAAAGAGACGGAATTTCTTTTGCGGTGAAGTAGAATAGACCTTCAGGTGTCACGTTAAGTATTACTTAGTAGCAGTATAGTGTGATAAGTGTCGTGATACTGACCAGTTGGACCTTCTTGTAAATGGACGGGGAGCGCGGGAGGGTATCGGGCAGCCCTCCCTCTACATCCTGCAGCAGCGTGGACCGCTTGAAGATAGCTTCGAAAGCCGCGCGGATTCTGTACATACATACATACATTCAACTACATTTTTCCAAATTTATTTAAACTTAAATGGGTGGAAAAATTAAATATTGATAAAGTATTTATTTTGGAAATTGGTTTGTTAATACGTTCCACGTCCGCAACATCCATAATGCGTACCTGGTCTCTGCACCGGTGACAGTGGTGTAGACGGGATGGGGTGGCGCGGTGTGCGGGGAGGGGGGCGCGGGCGAGCGTGGTCCACGGCTCAGCGTGAACGAGTTGGTTTTCTTCAGAATAGACTTCGGCCGGAATAGCTCCCCAGGTGCTGAAGAGATACCCAACACGAAAATATACACTATTAGTTTCCATTCACTCAGACCGGCTCGAAAAGGAGATCACTAGCCTCATAATGTCCCCATTGCTGGGATTCGGGCCTTCCTAGGGATGGAATCGAATCGAATGGGGAGAATGAGCTATTAACCACCACGTGAGCTCAGTACGGATTAGTGAGTATTAAGAACTGCGTATGCGGCAGGGACCAATGGCTTAACGTGCCTTACGAAGCACGGAGGAGTTCGAGATTTTTTTTTTAATAAATTAAATTATAGCCCTACGTTTGTCCGGCCATTCCAAAGGTTACTTAACAACCGTATTTCTAGCTAGCCACTTCGCCATCGAGCTTCTCATTTCGTCATTAAAATAAGGAAATGGAAACAGAGCCTTTATAGGATTACTTCGTTCCTCGACTTCAAATACGCGTTATTCAAATTAAAATATAATCAGGTCTGCAGTCCCCTAAAGCAGTGAAAAAGTAAAACTCCTTAATTCTCTCAGGGGAGTAAACATGGATAGGTACTTCCCGTTGGCTTAGAACTATAAAATTTGGCAAGTAACAACAACTAAGTAACAACTAACAAAAACAAATTTGTAATTAAATCACAAAAAAATGTCATATAAGGGGTACAAATTTATAATTGAAGCAACAAAATAATGAATCTTATGAAAGGGTGAATCTTATCATTTTTATGCGATTCCAAAACTATTTGAAAACATGAAAAATTATTACAATTATCATTACTTATTTTTAATTTAAATTTTCATAATGCAGAGATAAGGCATCATCATTTCATTTAGGCTCATTTTGTTACAATAAACAACTTTTTGAAGTCTTTAATGTTACATAATATAATGATAAATATTCAGTCCCTGTCCCTGTTAAGAAAAAAAGTATAAAGATACAGAGCATATAATTTGTAAAGCCTACATAATTTATTTAATAAAAAAAAATACTGTTTTCTCGTGAAGAATAAGGTTTTAAAAATAGCTCGACAAATGGTCTAGTCACGAAGGTGACATATTTTAGTATATTATATATGATCGACAATATAAATAATTATGAAGTTAAAATTAATTACTGTGTATATTCTATTGTTACCGGGTATGAGTGAAGCTTGGTGGTGATCAGTGAGCGAAGACGCGGGCCGCAACATGTCCGGTGCGGGTTGTACCTGATAATAAATTTAATTCAATTTTATAATTTATATTTTCAAACAGTAACTTTCGTTGCTTGACTAACGTCATAAACCTGCTGGTGGTGGAGCGCTGAGTTGAGAGGTGAGATGAGATCACCTGGAACCTGGAGCGCCTCTCCTCATCGCCGCCGCGGCGCTTGGCCTGCTGGTGATGGAGCGCTGAGTTAAGAGTTATGATGATTTATGTAACGGTGTGTATTTACCTGGAACCTGGAGGGCCTCTTCTAGTCACCGCTGCACCTAGCCTGCTAGCGGTGGAGCGCTGAGTTGAGAGTTATGATGATTTATGTAACGGTGTGTATTCACCTGGAACCTGGCGGGCCTCTTCTAGTCACCGCTGCACCTAGCCTGCTAGCGATGGAGCGCTGAATTGAGAGTTATGATGATTTATGTAACGGTGTGTATTCACCTGGAACCTGGCGGGCCTCTTCTATTCACCGCTGCACCTGGCCTGCTAGCGGTGGAGCGCTGAGTTGAGAGTTATGTAACGGTGTGTATTTACCTGGAACCTGGAGGGCCTCTTCTAGTCACCGCTGCACCTGGCCTGCTAGCGGTGGAGCGCTGAGTTGAGAGTTAAGTTGATTTATGTAACGGTGTGTATTCACCTGGAACCTGGAGGGCCTCCTCTCCTCGCGGCGGCGCTTGGCCTGCTGGTGCCAGAGCGCGGCGACTTGTAGGCGACGGTCACGACCCACTTGACGCTCGATGGCCTTCACCAGCTCCCAACGGTGGATGGATCCCAGTAGTACCATTGACGACGGACGGTCCACTAGCGGGAAGCTCTTGATCGTCTGCCCACACATAATATATCGTACTCGTACAAGAAAAGCTATTGACATGTGAAATGTGGCGATGGCGTGCGGAGCGAAGATGATTAAAATAAATAAACCATGCTTTTGTAATGTATAAGTATGAATCAGGGTTCGCAAAAATCTGATATTTATATTAAATATCAAAATATACCATATTGCGTATCATGCATTAGAAAAGATTTTAAGCTGCTAGTGGCTATATGTAATATTTAATGTTTTAAAATTACAAAATTTCTAGTATTTTAGTAAATTTCGGGCCAATGTTGCCAGGGTCACATCGAATCGGTTAATTTTTTAGCTGAGACTCAATACTCAAACTAACAATAAATATTATAAATATCAATCGATATTTATCAGCGAACCATGATATTAATCCCGTCATTGGCCTTACTTATGTATTTGTGTCTATGTACACAAAAAAAAACTTTTGTAACATTGTTTTAAAATGAATAATTGTATTACCTTATTCTCTTTGAGCAGATCTTTAAGCTGCTGATAAGTCATGCGATCCCATATGTACTTCACGTCTCGCACCATGAAGTCTTCAACGCAGATATCATACATACCTGTAACAATATTATACGTACAAGAATTTGTGATTAGTACATATTTTTATCCTATCTTTTAGTATCATTAATATTTATGAAGAAAAAAAATATGTTTTTTAATTTCATATTGTAATTATAATTATTTTTTATTTTACGTCTATTGACATATTCGTGTATTTTAATAGTAGTGAACAGATTGTAGGTAATGACAATGACAAATAATAAACCTTGCATAATAAGACTACAAAACCTTATGTTATTGTTTGAGATGCTTTAGGTATTAAAAAACTATTTTATCGTAACTCCGACCAAAGGGTCTTGAAATAGTACCATGAGTAAAATATGTAAAATGTAAGCTTGCTAGTAGAACTAGTTTTTAATTTTAAATAATCTTCATGAATCATTCTGAAGTTTTATTATAATTTTTATGAAGATATTATACAATATATTTACTAATCAAAAACATATCCGACGAGGATGGGATTCGAACCCACGCGTGCAGAGCACATTGGATTAGCAGTCCAACGCCTTAACCACTCGGCCACCTCGTCACTTGTTTATCTGTACAAAATTAAGAGTATGTTGATAAAAAATAAAATATTGTGTTATAATTTTACAATACAATTTTATAGTTATGTTGTTATTTTAAGATTTATTTTTAAGTTTTTATGTAATATTATATTATACTTCTATTATTTCAATACCTACTTGCTTTCAGTTAAAGTACTCTAAATTCAACAAAATAATAAAGTTTTTATTAAAAGATAAAGGAATGTTAAGTATATTTAATATACTACTCATAGCTCTTATATAATAATAATTACATATACATACTTCACTGTTACTTCAGTATCTCATTATTCTTGTACCCAGTAACGATTGAACAGAATAGTAAAGACTTGGAAGAGTATACTGTTTGCATTACTTTTAAGGGTCCTATTACATTTGGGCTGTCATTGTTAAAATTGACTATTTTGGTATTCTTGATCTCTGTATCAAAAATATACTTATTAAAAAAGCGCAGGTTTCGCTTTTTGTAAATTGTGTCTATTCTTTTAATTAAACCCAAAATGTCCATTTAAAGCGCAATGGCATTTTTTTTTGAGCTTCTGGATTGAGCTACTGGTATATACAAATGAAATAAAAATTTGAATGTTATCTTTTATATTCTATGGCCGCTATTTTCGTAGCAGCCTTGAAATTTTGAAATATCATTGATCGAGTACATATAGAAAATAAATTTTAATATAAATCTAAAATATTCGAAAATAATTTTAAGTTAATTGTGAATATCTTCTATCTACAATAATATTATTGAACAAAATTTGGATTATACCAGAACAATTATTACTTCATAAGGAAAAAAGATTTTATTTTCTAAGCTCTTTTTCAATTCATTATCGTATTTCAATAAAAATGATAACTGTAACTAAAAAATTGTTACAAAATGCGTTTCACGGACCGTCCGAGTTCAATTTGTAGAGAGTTTTTTTTGTATTTGTAATAGAGCTTTTAAACCAATTAATAATATCATGCCTTAATCAGATATGCAATCGTCTATTTCACAAGTAAAGATAAAAGCATTGTCTCTATATCATTGCGATCGGTAATGAGATTCATAGTCATTTATAACTATCTATTCTCCAGCGGCTTCGCCCACGGGATTCTTAGGAAACTGTTTAGTGGGATAAAAAGTAGCCTATATGTTAATTCAGGGAATCCGAATACAAAAATCCGTTCAGTTGTTTTTGCAAACATACATACGCACAACATGTTTGTACGGTTTGTACAAACTTACATGTTTGTACGGTTATGCAACAGCAGAATGTAAGTGGCTCGAGTCAAAGTACGTATTTATGCGCATCAGCATTTTCCATTTTAATATAACTTAATTGTTATTACAGTTAGTTAAGCGTGAGCCACTAAAAAACAAACATAATATAAACTATTCTAACTACTTTTTATTATTTTAAAATTTTGACAATTAAATACTAATACGTTTGTTATTTTTTTTTTCTATCAAGTATTTATTATAAATACCCATATTGACCGTGACAAAGCCTTTAAAAATGTAATGTAGTTTTCAGTTTATAGAGTTTATTCTCTAAAGACATCCTTAACGTCAGGAGGTGGTTTATTATAAATCTGTGCGCGCTTTATCCATGTTCATCAATTAAGGTTTTTTTGTATGTTTCTACAGAGCTCTCTAAGTAATGGATATAGAAAAGCATTTTAACTATTTTATATTGGGCAATTTGAAGTTTAGACAGTTTTGTTTTACATGCAGTTTTCTCGCTTTTTATTACAGCATTGGTCGTTATTTTTTAGTACAATAACAATAGTATTGTTGATTTTTTATTTTATAAATAAATAGTAGTAGTAGGCCTATATTAATATCTGAGAAATAATGTTGAAGTTAGAGCATGTCTATGATTAATAGTTGCAGACTTGTGTTGCTGTGTTTGCGGAACTGCTACTAGTCGACCGAAAACGCTTCATACAAATTCAAACCATGAAATAACGTCACGCCTTGCTACAAAGCGAATAATGTATGGACGTCTGGGCAATCATTGTAATATCTTTGTTATTTGTGAGTTTATGTTTATGGTTGTCACGTTTTATGTTACCAATTTAATACCATATGTATTTTAATTTTACTTATAGTATTCCCTTTTTTTCAAATTTTCAAAGCGTAATATTTTCCAAATTAGTGTACTTAATATGTTTTTTGTTAAATATTTATAATATGAATCATTTCTCATAATTTCCGAACATATAACAGAAATGTATTTTCAATTGTAGGACACAACCCTATTTAAAAATAGTATTTTTTGTGTACGCGTCCTATTAAAAATCATACTCACGACTAGCAGAGGAGAGCAAGTCGGGCAGGTAGGGCAGCTTCTTGATGAGTATGATGCTGTCAAAGCAGGACGGCTGCAGCAGCGATGCCACAGCGTTAGCGGACAACACTGCCGCCATTATCGGCAGCAAGTGGGTCACCTGTTTACACCAGGAAACCAGTCATAATCCATTTATTTTAAACATTCAAGTGTCATGACTGGTGGGGAAACAGTAAATGCCTATAAGGCACTCGGGTAGACTTTGCCAGCTGACGTCGATATTGTTTCTTATTGTGATTATAATATACATATATTTATGAAGTTTTTTTTTTATATTTTAAAATAAATATTTCAATTTACATGTAGATTTTCGTAGTAGCGTAGATATTATAACTAATTACTTAGTAAACAAACTGTATCAACCTCTGCATGCAGTAGGGGGTATTATAAGTAGTATCTAATATACGGATACCTTGTTTCTTCATTATTTCCACTTTTGATAGGTTAAAAAAAAAGAAAAATAAAGTTGAATATGATTACAGTATTATTATTTAAGGATTACGCAAGTGGATGGATTTTTTTTATTTGCTTTAATAGAATTAAACATAATTGCACCTTTTCAACTTTCTACGGCGTTTATAAACCAAGAAGGTTTCTGCCAATGCTATTTGTATCTACGTTAGTACTATTTAGTAGTACATACATTTTACACTTGACAAAGACATAATGTGCCTTATTATCACTTTGGTTAAGTATAAATTAATAGAATAGAATAGAATAGATCTTTATTTGCGTCAAACATGGTATTTAAAGTTTTACAAAAATAGGCAGTTCAACATGTTTCGCTATTCTCATTAGCATGCAAATATATTAATTAATTACAATACAATAAAAATAAAATAATTATTAAAAGATTATAAATTTTGATATAAATGTCATAAACCCATTATTATTATTATAAACATTATTACATGTCCAAGTACTGCTTAACACTATAAAAATTATACTCATTCAGCCATCTAAACAACTTTGTCTTAAATAATTTTACTCTTAATTGTTTAATGTCAATCGGCAATTTATTATACATCCTTACACACATGCATAGAGAATTCTTATTGTATTTTGCCGACTTAGGAATTTCATCCAAGACAAGTCTATTAACATTCCTACGAGTTCGCGTATACAATTCGATTGCTGTACAAAACAAATCAGGATTTGACTTAACGAAAACACATGCTTCATAAATATATAGTGATGGTAATGGCAACAAACCAAGCTCCCTAAATAATGGTTTACATGAATCCCGTGGCGATTTATAAGTTATTGCTCTTATGCACTTTTTTTGTGCAATAAAAGCTCTTTCAAGCTTAGAACTATTACCCCATATAATGAGACCATACCGCATAATGGATACAATGTACGCATGATAAACTGACAACACCACATTTCTATTCGTAATGTTTCTGAGACGTTTTAGCACATAAACAAACCTATTTATTCTGTGACAGACATTTTCAACATGACTATTCCAACTTAGATATTTATCAATATTTATGCCAAGAAATTTCGTTTCCGTTATTTCATTAATTTTTGAATTTTTATATTTGATAATTAATTTAGATGTGAGATTAGTATTAAAATTAATAAAATTTGTCTTTGTTAAATTCATTTGTAAATTATTATCTTCTAACCATCCACCGATAGCTTCTACTGCGTTATTGATGTCAATTTCATGATCTTTAACATTAATATTACCAATTTTATCACTTGACCTTACTGTAATGGAAATGTCATCGGCAAATAGGACGCAACTGTGGTTTGTTACTTCTGGGAGAGAATTTATATAAATTAAAAACAAAAATGGTCCTAATACGCTTCCTTGTGGCACACCACATTCATTGCATCTATATTCTGAAGTAAATGATACTATTTCATTTTTTTGGTTAAGTTTTGTAATTACTACACTTTGATAACGATCCTTTAGATAAGAGCAAATCCAATCCAAAGGAAGACCCCTAATTCCTGCGGATTCAAGCCTATTTAAAAGCGTGTTGTGCTAAACAAAATCAAAAGCCTTGCTCAAATCAAAAAAGACTGTCGTTGTGGCCAATTGTTTATTTATACCTTTTAATATCGATTTTACGAGTGTGAAAATAGCAGTAGTTGTTGATTGATTTTTTTGGAACCCATACTGTTCAGGTCGAATTATATTAAATTTATCGCAAAAGTCCGACAATCGACTCAACATACATTTTTCAAAAATCTTAGATAGTATTGAGACTAGTGTAATAGGACGGTAGTTCCTAATATCAGACTTTTCCCCTTTTTTAAAAAGTGGCCTAATTATAGACAATTTTAATATATCTGGATATATCCCCGTAGAAAAAGATAAATTGATTAAGAAAGTAAGAACACTAATAAATTTGTCTATGCTAGCTTTTATTATTTTTGTAGATATTTCATCATGACCCTCAGCATTAGTATTATTTAAAGACATGACTTGTTTCTTTACTTCAGTGTCAGACATTGGCATCACAAACATTGAATATGAATTAATTTTATATATTTTGTCCTTATGTGTGCCTACTTTATTCTCATAGTTATTATTTGTAATATCGATGAAATAATTGTTAAAAATTGTAGCAATTTCCACTGGATCCGTGATCAATTGGTTTTCATGACTGATGCAATCGATACTAGTAAGATTATTTTTTAAATTACCAATTTCATTATTTATAACAGTCCAGGATGCTTTGCAGGTATTTTTACTCTTATTGATAAATCTAATATTGCAGCTTTTTTTTTAAGTGGGATATACACTTTTTAAGAATACAAGAATACTTTACATATTTTTCTTTATTAGCAACTGTTTTATGTCTGTAATAGTTATATCTCAGCAACCTTTTAGTTTTACAGCTAATTATTGATCCTTTACTAATCCATTCTTGCTTTTTGTGGTAATTGTTAATTTTAATTCTTATTTTAGGGAAGCAGAGATTATAAAATAAACCATACAGATCCTGAAATTTTTGAAATGCTTTATTTATATCACTCTCCGCAAAAACATCCGTAAAAGAGAGCTTTTCTATGCATTGATTAAACTTTTGTATATTTTCACAACTGTAATCCCTTCTAAATATGAAATAAGATTTAATGCTTTGCTTCAATTTAATTGGAAATCTCAAAATCTGTGCCGTTTCATGATCAGACAGATACAACTTAAGCACAGAGGATGTGGCGTTTTTTATGTTACTTAAAATATGATCCAAGCAAGACGTTTTCCGAGTTGGTTCTTTAATATGAACTGTTAAATTAAAGTTAAGTGCTAGATCGTTTAACTGATTTGTAATTTTGCCTGGTTTTAAAGTGTTTATGTTGAAATCACCAACTATAATTATGTTTTAAGTCAATTTATCAGTTTTGACTCATTAAAAGATTTTTAGACTACGATTGGACAGACATATTATATAAGTTTCTAAATAAAAATAGAGAAAAAATACCTGTCCAGTCATCTCGATCACGATAACTATAGTGGATACTGTATGGGTGACCGCACCGGTGAATGCCGCCGCGCCCACAGTCGCGTATCCACCTATAAGATAAACATAACAAAATATATATTTAATACTAAACGCCAATGTTTAATCGAATTGTCTTTAAACTTGCAGTTACATTTATCCTTTGTCGCCAGACATTAGTTCGAGGGCCGGGGCTAATTACAATTCGATATTGTTAATTCAGTACAGACTTTTACAAGGATTTGGGAAAGTCGAAACTATGTCATCGCTTCGCAAATCTACGGTGAGAGACCTTATGCTGAGAACTGGCAAGAAACTCAGCAAGGGCTGCTTTTACCTCCCTGTTTTATTTCATACAAAGATTTAGAATTATAATGAAAAACGTGACTCCATTAGAATATGAAGTTACTTTCCATTACATAAAATTATAAAAAGAGATAATTTATTTCGTTAATCTGTGATTGTGATCAATATGCCATACATATTACAGTATTACAATAGATATACATACATAGATAGAGATACATATACAGAAAATGAATAAAATTAAGTAGTCCAGAGCAGACTCATCCCCACTGGCAGCACCCGTTCACGAGTATGACGCATGAGGCTCAACCTTATTTTAAGGAATGCAACGACCCAACGCACATGATACCACCGTAGATAGTTTTAAGAAGTTCTGGGTACTTTGGTTGTTATACTAATGATACTGTATGTTCCGACCTGGCAATATCTTCTGTATGTGCCCTCCGTAGGCCACGCCCAGTGGACAGAAGTAGTGCATTAATTCACCGGTCAATCTCCCTAACGAGGCGCCCATCTTGAACGCGGGCACGAATATGCCGGCTGGTACTGGTAATGTGCAGGACACCATACTCAGAAAGTACTGCCGACAACATATTAAAATACTATTAATGTCTACATTGCTGGGGCACGGACCTTCTCTTTAATTGAACCGTCTACCTATGTGTACAACTCAATTGATCCAGAAAAACAGCTGTAATTTACGGACAGATAGACGGACATTTTCTCGTGTTTTTAAGGAAATATAATAGCTGGAAAATATAAGGTGTGTTTATTATAATATTCGAGACTAATATCTTATTCGAAGGAAGGAATTGGAAGAATTCATTTTAGTGTGAAATATTTCATTCTGTCAATGAAACATTTATATCAGATGAACTGTTCGGTAATCATCAAAATCAAAAATATTAGAAATTAATGTAGAAGATACAGTCTGCAACATATCAAGGTTACCACAATATTTCATTTAAGACTCTTAATCAAAGAATATGGTTATCGTTAATTTATTGATATTTAAGTTCAAAATATTTTAAAGAAATATTGTTTTAAAAAGTTGTGCTCTGTGTAAAATACGAAAAATATTGTTTGCGCAAATGTTTAATTTCATTAACATAAGTGGCGAAACAGTGTTTTAATTATATGTATGTCTTATTGACGATCTCTATGGCTGAGTGAGTCATTGAGATCATTTTAGAAAATGATATTTTCGGGTGGGTATGGTTATGACATCTTTCTTATGTCAGAATTCTACAATAAATTCTAAGGATATAGCTACTTATTCTGGGATTTGAGCAATGTATAGGATGTTCTCTAAATGCAGTATTTGGTCCATTAGTCATGTGGGGCAACAGTGGGCTTTCTGATTTAACTTTAGAATAATAGAAAACGACAAAAAAAAAGGAAACTCGAGACAGACTGTTTATTTTTCAAAACTTTCTGGCGGTAACAGCGAAAGTGACATTATCCATAAAATAGAGCTTAAAGGCGTCATTAAACCTTAATGTCGTTATTGTCGTTTCGTTGGAGTATGCTATATGTTGCCTAATAAAAATAAGCCTTTGAGCAAAATTCGTACTAGGCTGACGACGGCCATAAATATGTATTATTATTCAATCTAGTGGACCAAATCCTTCTGATAATAAGCTTAAATGTGTTAACAGATAAGTTCAAAATTTACCGTAGAAAAGCTAATTAAAGAGAAATGAGGTGGTGTTATGTGTTGTAATATTTACTCACTATTGAACAGAAATATATGAAGAGACATCCGAAGTAGTTAACTCCTGGCGCCTCCCAGTGTGAGACCACCGCGGCCTGTGCAGCCGACAGGTCGTCGCCCCACGTGAAGTTAGAGAACAAAGACAGCACCTGCATAACACACACACACAAACATACATACACTAAACCAGCGGTTCTCAAACTTTTTGTGGATAGAACACTTTTAAAAACACTCTGTCTATATATAATACATTTAAACGAGTGTTTTTTTTGTATATATAATATCTCAGAAACGGCTAAATATTTATTTTAATGTGGTTTTTAGTATTTCTTGTTGAAGCGGCAACAGCAATACGTCTGTGAAAATTTCCACTTTAACATTCACTGTAGTGTCTGTCTGTACATTAGAAATTTCGACTGTCTAATGTTCATCAGATACAGCCAGGTGACAGACAGATAGCGAAATCTAATTAATAAGGTTCCCGTTTTACCCTTTAGGTGTAAAACCTTAAAAATACCGAGAGAAGCTCGGTCATACTGTGATATAAGTAATATTAGGTACCTGTTCCTGGTTGCCGAGGTCGGCTGCCATGTACTTGCCGATGCCGGGCGGGAATAGTATGGACATAACCACTAGCGTCATCATGCCCGGGTAGATGAACCGGCTGGAAACACACATTACACTGTCACTCTAATTTTTATAAGGCATATTTACAGCTTTCTTAGATACGTTTATATTGTGATAATATACCTATAAAGGTAAACTTCCACTCTATACGCACGCACCGTACGCAACGGGTTTTTACATAGATTTATATGAATGTGTAGTTCACTCTGTCCAATATCCATTATCATTTCAGCCGAGAGACGCCCACTGCCGGGCATAGACCTCCCCAAAAATCTCCAATGTGATCGGTCCTGCGCTTCCCGCATCCAGCGGCTTCCCGCGACCTTCATCAGATCATACCTTCACTATCCATACCGACCTCAAATAGTGACGTCATTTACAAAGAGATGTGTCGTCTTCAATGGTAATTTTTTTATCAATAAACTCACTTTTTCTGCAGGAAGTTGCTGAGTGTCTTAGTGTTTCTCATGAACAAGACGTATTGTCGATGCAGCCACACCCATAACGCCGCTAGTAAACCGCTTACTATCCTAAACAGATTATAATACCATAAATAAACTAATATTAGGCAACCAATTAAGCTTTCCCTGTGGAAGGCAGAACGAACAGTGAACCACAATGCGACTCAACGCGAATGGGCAGGTGCTAACGTCCTAGGTATATGCAACAAGGATTAACAGCTTAACTAAGGAAGAGCTCAAAACAATATATTTCTGGTCACCTATCCGATGACTAAAGAGAGTACTGAGTAGTTCGGTGACGTAGTGGATAAGCGAAAGGGCCCGCGATTGTTGTTGTTGAGCAGCTTCAGCAAGGGTCGGTCACAGGATGGGTGATCAAAAATTATTATCTCGAGCTGATCCGTGCTTCAGACACGTTAAGCTGTTGGTCTCGGCTGCATTCGCAGCCGTTAATACCCTTCAATCCGCATTAGGCCATGACCCTCCATGGCAGATCCTCCTTAACAATCTATAATGGAAACCTGAGCCCCTGCAATAGGGACGTAAAAGAGATGATGATGATGGTCCAATGACTAAACTTTGCAAAACTTTCTTAACATCCGCAATCACAGAGTGAACGCAATGAAATGAGCTCACAGAACTTCACCTTCAACTTCACTTATATGCTGTCGGCCAACGAGTCATAATATAGTTACCCGAGTAGTACGAAGACAGCGAACTCTTGCGGATCGAAGGGGAAGTCCTGCGGAAGGTTTGTGGGGAACAGAGGCTTCACGGTCGGCATCGCGCCCGACCACACAGACAGCAGACGGAACATCTATACATACACGTAATTGAATCTGGAGATATTATTGGCTATTTGACGTTATTTTAAACTTTTATATGATCATATCAAACAACTATTTTTATGTTTCTCCAAATAATTTTATTAAATAAAGTGTTATTAAAACATTCATCTTATTATTTTTTTTTTACATTTCAATAAAGATAACTTGCACTCGCAACAAAGACATTATTAACGTTTAGTTTATTGAAATGTGACGTCACACGGTTTTAACACATTTCGGTTCTTGTTTTCCACCTATTACAAATTGCAAGTTATTTGTGCAAAAAATAAAATATAGGTACGAGTACTAACAACTTATTTAAAAACAAAAGATACTGCATAATTATTGTTTATATATATAACTTACAATTCGAAAATATTTCATATTTGACAACACATTTCATAATTATTTCTTATCATTGTTATTAAGTACCAAATTAGCACAAATCTCATCCCATGTATCCCAAATAAGTTTCATCTAAAAAACTATACATAACTTTTACAAATTAACATGACTTCTAAGGGCCTAATCTATTTGTCCCCGAACGAAAATACAGTAAATATCGAATTGTTTTTATAATTGTTTTAAAAATCGTATTCCACGAATATTATCTGTGCATCAGAGGCAGTGTCAGGTCCTTTAATATCGAACAATACATTTATTTGGAGTCTTATTAGCATATCTAAATAGACGAAATTTCGATTTCGAGGAAATATAATGCCTTCAGGTGATGACATCTGAAGGTATTGACATGACAATCCGCATGAGTAGTAGATAAATGCATAACTTACTATAGCACTGCAACAAGCGGCGAAAAAACCTCGCCAATAATTCCTCACAGCAAAATAAGTCGTGGTTACTTCTATTGAAAAGAGCACGCCTACAACAATAAAAAAATATACTTTACTGCAAACAATATAAAATACAAATTAATATGTAACAACTTTATAGGGACACCTATTTTAATGTTTTTACAACACTAAGCTCTCTGACATAAAACTATGACCTGTAATGGGGACGTAAGTACGCTGATTCTTAGAGCTGATTTTGAATTGCATTTATTATTCGTTGATTGAAATTACAAAGCGATATTGCTACATTTCCTCTTTTTATTAACTAACAATAAATAAATACGAATAAAATCGACTGAAAATTGAAGGGTTAGATAGAAAAAAGAATCCATTAGAAGAAAATGGTAGAAAGTGGCTACGTCACCCCCGACAGGCGCGGCGAAGCAGGAGGCGACACCCACGGCGCAGGCGGCGGCCAGCATCTCGCTGGTGCGGGACTCGTTACTGTAGATGCCCTGGAATGTTGTTACCAGCTTCGACAGCAGGCTCGCCACCATAGACGCTATGTGCACCGACGGACCCTGGCCGTGAGGAAAACCATCAATACCTGTCGAGATATAAACTCGAATATTTTCTATTATTAAAAAATCATCATATTCATAGGTAACGCAAATTTTGATTCTCTTATTTACAAAAAAAAAAAAGAATTAAGAAAATGACGTGTCTAAGATTTATAATAATTAACACAACATTAAAATTTGTATCCTGATTGATTTTTATTCCAGTAAAATGACTACTTACCTCTTTACCGAGTGGCAGACCAGACCCGAGAGTGGCAGTCAGCCCTATGACCTTCGAAATCAGAGCCCTGTACGTGAGGTATTCCTTCAAGTGGACGCCACGAAGGATCGTCTTCATTTCTGGTATACCAGACCCTAGCAACAACGGAAAACGTTACGGATAATAAAATTGTAGCTCGTGAGCGCTGGTCATTGTTAAGCAATTTTCGTAAAGGAAATTAAAATTTATCATCTCACGCTCCTCCGTGCTTATAAAGGCAGGATAAGCCGTTGACCTACCCTATCTGCAATAATTAACACCTAGCAATACATACTGGGCGCTCGTGTTGTTAAATGGACCATTCTCTAAATGCGATTCGATTCCATCCATAGAAAAGGCCTGGGCTCCAGCAGTGGGGATATTAATAAGCTTGAGATGATGATGATGAATGTCACGGGACCGAAAGACTTCAGCAAAGATTGTGGTTGTGCCGCTCAACTCTTAATGTCTACCCCACAGGAAACTTTGCATAAAACTAAAAGTTAGGATAGTCTCCTTACCTATGCTCTGTGCGGCGACGATGTGAACAAAACCAGAGGCGAAAAGTATTAGACATACTGGCAGCGACACCCACGCCACGTACTGACTGAATGTGGACGATGCCAGGTCCTTGTACATCCACATGCGAGCTGAAATGATACAGATATACACAGCATACTTTAATAAAGAACTCGCTTTGACTATATTTATATTTTTACCCGACTACGGCGAAGCGACAGTTTGTTTTATTATGATCAGTGGCACAGATTTCTGTGATCAGTGGCATTCGACTACGCAGTCCTTTGGTAATCGCTATTATAATATAGCTATCGGAATAAAATTAAATTTCTCGTTCCAAACTTTTTAGAGCAATTTCTCTGATAAGAAATAGCCACATTCACACAGAATACAAAAGATTAAATTACTATCGATTCAAAATTTTACTAGAAATTAAGGCTTAAAGTATATTGGAGACATTTTCTATAATAATGATATGATGTGCTGTCGGATGTATCTTACTAATCTGCATCTCTGTATCTCTATAGAAAATATAACAGAATTTTTGAAAGGCTAATTATTTTTTTCAGGCCAAATTTTCAAATTACAATCGTGCATAATTACCTGTTAATTTGCATCTGATGCATAAAATAAAAATGAATTTATTTATTTCGGTTTATCACAAATAAAAACCATTATTACTATCTATAAAATATCTTGTAATTAAATCAAAATATAAAAGCAAACACAGTATGCATAAAAAAGATTTAACATATACGAATATTGAAAGTAAAAAGCTTTATTCAATAATAATATAAATAAGTCATCACCGCATAAGTTGCTTAGATTCTAAAGTAATTTTATTACTTTTATTAGAAATCAATAACCACGAAGGTACCACAACAACCAGAGCCAAGACAATTAAAATTAAAAATCAGTTTGTACATTATTCACCATTAATTTTCGATTTCAGAGATGGAGATTCTTTTATTGAAAAGCACATACAAAATTTCTGGACTTCTAAGTATGTTTTTTAATAAAAAAATAATGTCGTTTTTAAATTTTATTTAATTGAATATTTTTATTTTATTTTTTTATTAAGAACAATATGGCCGAATATGGTTTCATTTTGTAATTGAATAAAATTTACTTTTCATTTTATTCAACCATCAAAAATTTCGACACGAATTTGACTGGAAAAAAATGCTCAATAATTGTGGCCCATCCGCAACCATCCACAAGGAAGGTCTGAGCCCCTGCAGTGGGGACGTAAAAGGGCTAGTGATGATAATGATGATGATTTTCACGAAATACGCCATAAACATACATCTATTTGTCTCATATATTATCGATTCTTTGTCTTAATGCACAGTCTTTAATGGAACAAGAAACAAAAATGAGTTACCATTATTGCATATAGCGATGCCCCTGTCCATGGCGAAGTTGAGGACCGCCATGATGATGCCCAGTAACGCCAGGAACACCCAGTCCTCGCCGAGCCTAGCGAACGTGTGCCTCCACAGGTAACCTGCCACACACTTCACATCATTCCTATAAAGTGCCATATGACCTCCTATCATCAGTTTTAGTTCACAATACTAAAAACAAAATATGGGACCTTCATTAGAATCACTAGAGTATCTGTCTGTCTATCCGTCCTTCCATCTGTTAAATAAGTTTAATCATAATAACATTTTGCCTATATTTGACACAGGTTCAATAAAATAAAACCTACTTCAAAAAGTTTATTTGTACGTCATAAGAGCGTCGCGTTCATTGCTATATTTTAACTGAACAGTATTGCCAGACTTAGGATATGCTCACCTAAAACCTTAAAGATCTTTCCCCTGGGCCGGTGTTTCCCAGTCGCCTCTAACTCTTTCTGTCGTAGTTTGTCGTCTTTCCGCCTCTTCTTACGGAGTCTGCGCAGTCTTCTGGCTTCCTCTCTGGCCGCTTCGCTTAGGTCACGCTGGTAGCGACCATACATCTGAAAATAAAGAAATTAATGGTTAAAATCTACATCTTTCTTGGCTTTCATGATTATAAAAATAAATTTTATTGTTTTAATTATTTTTTAGACTTATTAATAGTAGGAAAACACTAGTTTCAGCAGTTGGAAATTGGTCAGTTGGTTATGTATCCTGCGCAAGTCATAAAAGTCTTGAATCAGTCGATTTTAAGTCGTTCTTTACGTTGGCGACAGGCTAACGACCTGTTACTATTTGAAGTAACGAGTGACAAAGGTCAGTGTGTTATCAAACGTGTTTACATTTAATACTCAACTTTAGAAGGATAGTTTAGCCGCCTTAATAAACCATTTATACGAGGCTAGTACGTCGAGACAGTCCAGTAAGCTAGGTCAGTATTAGTCTCGTGTAAATGGTAGTTTAATGAAATAGAACGATTCCCAATTTTACTGAACTGGCTTTCTGGATTTTCTCAGCTAAAGGCCTCGAGTAACAGGTCCTCAAGAATGCGCATAAAGATAAAATGAACATGAGACCAGTAGGCCCAACAGGTCATGAGACTAGAGAATTAGAACCAATGACTCCTCTATCCTAGAGAGTACTATTCCAACTGAGCTTTCGTAGACCTAGAGAATGTATATTGTTATCTTATAATAGCCATGAATGTTAAACAGTCGAGAGAAATATTTTTGATGAGTAAGGACAGTTTTTGGGGAAAGATTCTCATTTCGCACGTGTATGCCCAGTCACAGAATTTTGGATATTTTCTAATTTAAGGTTGTATACCTATCAAGTTCGAAGACAATACGCAGTCTGTTGACGATAAGATATGTTATTTATTTCTATTTTTAAAAAATCTATTTTTGATAATAATTGTTAGTTACGGCTTCATAAAAATAATCTGGAAATAGAATACTCAAAAAAACAATAAAAAATAGTAAATTTGAACTATAAATTTACTGTAACAACGAGAAATACCTATATTAAAAAATCGATATCACATTACTCAGACTCCAACTTCTTATTAATAAACATGTTTTTTTTTTATTTTTTTAAGCATTCGTGTAATAATTATTTACTCCGTAATCACGGCTTCTATACCAAACTAATAAATAGCTCGTCTATAATTTATATTCATCAATCATCTGCACGAGTATAACACATACCAAAACTCTCCCTTTCTCAATAAGCTCCTCCATAATCTCACTACAACCGCTGATATTGAGCAATTAACTGAATCCTTATTACTCTCATTAACCAACCTTGTACAGTGTTTGTAGAAGTTATCTCCTAATCATATGTATAACTAAGATAAACCATGGGATATCGCTAATGTAACTATTTATAGTATTAAGGTTTTTCATGGAAATCTATACCGTGGTAATAGGTACTTACATAAAAAATACATCTCGTGCGTCATGTTCGGTCGCTGGTAGTATCAATAACTCTGCTCTATTTGATACAGATTTTCCGCGACTGCGTCCGCGTAAATTATAGCTTAAGCCATCCGCGTATAATGTAGCTTCCCGTAGGTGAGAGAACCTTTAAAATCGGTCGAATAGTTTGGAAGCCTATTCGATGCAAACAAACAATAAAAACTTTTCTCATTATAATTGTAATATTTTTTTTAGAGTTACAAAAAGCTTTCGATACGGTGTCTATCCCTGTCTTACTCACTCGTTTGGAAAATTTTGGTGTGAGAGGAATCGCTCACGATTGGGTGTCCGATTATTTGGATAGCAGATCCCAAAGAGTACGCGTGGGTAAGGTTTGTAATGATTCCGCCGTCTGCGCTTATGGGATTCCGCAGGGCAGTACGTTAGGTCCAACGTTATTTATAATTTACATTAACGAACTATGCAAAACAAACCTTCGTAATGCGTTAATTAATTATTGTGTTTATAAATCTACGAGATATTGCTGACAAGTCACTTCTACTTCGAACTTATGATGCACTCTGTCACAGTCTTATCAATTATTATATTCGTTCATAATGGGGCGCTTCAAAAACATACTTAATAGAAATGGAAAGGGCCCAGAGACCTGTTCTAAAGGTTCTACTCAAACTGCTATACAGACATTCAACTATATCTCTTTATAGTTTGTAAAACATTTATTTATTAATGCATAAAACGCTACCACCAATATACCATTCCCTTATTACCAGACTCGACTAAAAGAAATAAATAGTATTCAATGCCCTTAGTTAAGAGTAGTGTTGCTAAGAGACAATAAAATTACCAAGCACCAAGTTATGCAATAAAATAGACAAGAAATTGATATTAGGAAAACTAATACACGAAAGATGAACCAAATAATACTGAAATGGTTAAAGATCTTGACTACAATGACTGCGAAAATCTCATTTCGCCAAACTCAACTTAATCATGTGAAGATAACATATTGGAAATTCATCATAACAGAATAATATACCGTACTTTACCGTTGTATTACACCACTTACACACACACACACGCACACACGCTCACACGCACACACACACGTAATCATATTTTATTCTAAATTGCATGTTCCTACAAACTTTTTATTAAATGTATACATTTGTATAAAATCCACTACTGTACCCTTAAGTAGTAAGTTATAACATTATTATGTCATTTTTTTGTCGAGAGTGGAGGCCTTATGGCCTTTAATACAGGTGATCTTCTGATTATCTAACTTAGGCATCAGTCTCACACCAGAACCTCAAGAACAACTGTGTTTGTAACTTACTTGCGCGTAAGATATTATTCTGTGTGATGAAAAATACATTTTTATTATTAATTTTTTTTTATTATTATTCTATCATCTCAGTTGAGTTACATTGACAAAACACATAAATATTACTAGACGGTTAAGACATTCAGTTTTCATCTATCCTTATATTATAAAGAAAGATTTTATTATTTGCATCAGTTTATAGGCTCCGGTACTGGTGGACCAATTTCAATAGAAGTCCTCATATAAAATTCATAGCATTTCAGATAAATTGACAAAAGAAAAAAGTGTAAAAGCGATTTTATTTTTATTAGCTTCACGTTTCATTAATTTCGATACAAGCGGACTGTAATAATAATATAATGTCACTAGCAACTCGTATTTTTCTAACAATAACGCATTACCTGCGCAAGCGCAAGCCACAAAATTGGCTGCATTTATTTTGAACGTCTATTGTAACGTTAAAGTAATTTATTTTTTGCTGAGAGAACGTCCAATGTCCAATCCAACACGCAACTAGGTTTTCAGCAAATTATCTGACAGACACAAATAGACGTGATGCAAATCTAATAGCGAAAAAGCACTAAGTATTTGCAAGTTAGATATCCAATTGCTTAAGTTAAGCAACTGGCGAAGGTCAGCCGTATGATGGGTGACCTATATTCATCATCATTAGCCTATTATTTTTCCCATTGTTGAAATTGAATGGCGACGGCTATGTAGGTGATGGCGCAATAGTTAGCGCGTTCGATTTGCGATTAAGACCAATATTGTCACGAGTCAATTTTAATCTGCTTCCACAAAATTTCTAAATTACAAGAAATATGAAGACGTGACGATGGCATTTTGTTTTATATTCAAGTCAATAAACCACACTTATTCCTAAGAAAATTTTGACGGCGTTTGATGTGACCAGAGTTGTTTTCAGCTATTATTAAAACAAACGTAAAAAAAAAAAATACTCTCGGTTTATGGCACATTAAATATTTGATGTGTGTTTGTTTTTTAACGTACACAATCATTGTTTAATGGAAAGGTATCCTATGTATATAAATTTTCTTCGACCCAACTGCATGGAATTGGGTAATTTTTTCGTCGATCATTATAATTTCCCATATATTTTAAGCCGACGGCAAGGCAAGGCTGTAGGTTTGGCCGAGGTTGCAACCACCATTTTAGCAATAGAAAATGCACTGCTATACCTCGCCTTTCCAGCACGAATCAACAGGGTTATACGAGGGTCAAACTGAAAGTTCTTAGAAAATCAAAAACTGATTACATTAGCCAGTTATTAGTTTTATTATATCTTTTCAAAATATTGTCCATTCACGTCAATACACCGCTGCATGCGATGGAACCACTGGGAAAAGCACTTTGCCCACTCGTCCTTAGGGGTCTCTTCAATGGCATCGCGATACGCAGCCACCGCTTCTTCAGCATTCATAAACCGCTTTCCTTTAAGTTTTTCTTTAATTTTTGGAAATAAATAAAAATCACAAGGCGCGAGGTCGGGGCTATACGGCGGGTGACCCAGTAATTCAACGTTTGATGTCGCCAAATAGTCGATCGTTCGCTTGGCGGTGTGCGACGAGGCGTTGTCGTGGTGAAGGAGGATCCTACTGCGAGGTCGTTTCTCTCGAACTTTTTCCAAGACAAGTGGCAAACAATTGGTAGTGTACCATTCTGCAGAAACTGTTTTTTGATCCTCTAACACAATTGTTGCAAAATGACCTATCCTTCCAAAGAACGAGGCCACCATTTTTTTTCCCGCACTTCGATCTCTCTTCACTTTAGTTGGCAACTCCTCGAAAGGAAACACCCACTGAGCAGATTGTCTTTTGGTTTTAGGATCATAACAGTAAATCCAGCTTTCGTCACCTGTTAGTATGTCGAACACAGCATTTGAGTCACCTCCGTTAAATCTTTCAATCATTTTACGACACCAATCCACACGATGGAGTTTTTGAGCCTCAGTCAAATTATGAGGTATCCACCGGGCGCAAAGCTTCCTGACCGCTAAATGTTCGTGGAGGATTTTGTGCACTTGACTCATACCGATGCCTAAGCTTGTCCGAATCTGTTGATAGGTCACTCTTTTGTCAGTCTCTATCATACGCCGCACAACACAGATGTTATCTTCAGTCGTCGCCGTAGAAGGCCGTCCCTCACGTAAATCATCAGTGAGATTAGTGCGACCACGTTTAAACTCATTAAACCAGTTGTAAACAGTCGCACGAGATGGGGCTTCATCGTGAAAGGCCAATCGTAGTCTATCATAACTTTCTTGTTGACTTAAATGACA